GGGGCAGTGCTGGCTCCTTGCAGGGGTGCAGGGCCCGCGTCCTGACCCTCCTGTCCTCTTGGTCCAGATGTGCACATCCCTTCGGGCCGGTGTTTGGATGGGTGGACAGGGGAACCCAGGATGTGCTGCCATCAGCGGGGGTTGGGGGACCGTCCTCCAACTCATAGGTGATGAAGAAAGCCCATCCTGCCCCAGGCTGCCGTGTCTACTCTGGTTTCTCTTGCAGACTAATATTAGCTGTGAGCGGGAAAGCCATGAACCAAGCAGCCCCCACACACCGAGGTTCTCGGGCGGAGGGTGCAGCTTGACAGTGTCTGGGCTGCAGGTGGGGGGAGGGGCTCCCTTTCACCCACCTTCTGTTCTCGCCTTACTGACAGACAGACCTAATTTTAAATAAATGTCAGCTTTAGGATTTGAGATGTGGCTTCTAGCAGGCCAGGCTCTGGGATTTAACATGACAGCAGGAAGAGGGTGGCTGTGTGGTCGCTGGGGCCGGTGAGGGACTGTCTGTGGCTCCAAGCTGCACGAGGTCAGGTCAGAGGCCAGCGGGAGCCCTCCTGGGCCTCTGCCTCCCACTCTGCACATGCAGGGTTATCCAGCCCAGACCCCAGGGGTCTGTAGGGGGGCAGTGAGGGCGGCTGGGCCTGCGTGGTGGCCGTGGCATGCTCAGTGAGGAATCAAGCTGTGAACCGGCCCCTTGAGGCTGAAAGGCTTAGGAAGTGTTCAGAGCCCTGTTGATCCCTTACGTTTCCTCCTCTTAAAGTTCCCTGTATGTGAAACTGACCAGGAGGTCGTGGGTACCTGTTTTCCCAGCTGATTAGCTGCACTTGCCCGAGGCCTGCCTGTGGCCCGCATCTCACGTGCCAGTCAGCTCCCAGGCCTGGCTGCCCCTCTGTCCCGCCTTGCCTCCAGGACGGGTCGTGCAGCCCAAGACCCTGACTCCGTTGTCCCCACGCGCGTCTTTCTGAGGAGTCTGCGTGCCTTCTGCCTTGCTGCTGACGCTAATTGTGTGGGGAGTCTTGGAACGTCTTCTCTGTGTGCGGAGTTCTGTATGGTGGGTTCACGTAAAGAAGTGATTCTGATTGGGGGAGTGTATTGATTTGCTATACGTGAAATGGGAGTTAAATCCAAAGACTGTAATGAATTGTAAAGACTTAATGATTTGTACTGTATAATGAACTAAACTTCTGTAATTTTGTACCATATATGCCTTTCCGTCATATGACCAGCAGCCTCTAAATAAAACCAGATGATTTCATGCCTGCGTCTGAGGTCGTCTTACTGTTTTCCTCTCCCCACCCTGAGGCATTCAAACTGTCCCACAGGCTGGGGTGGCCTGGTTCTGACTGATTGAGGTGGGTTTTTCAAGGTTGGGGAGGTTTGGGTTCATGATGGTTCTGTGGCCAGTCTTATACCCACTCCTTGGTTGAGACCTTTTTCAGGAGCCAAGAACCAGCAGAAACCTCTGATGGCCTTAGACCCAAGGTAATCGGAGCTTCTGGACCATCTAATCAGGAGACCGCTTCTCTGGAGCAGACATCCCAGCTCTCAGGCCTCGGCTTCATGTCCACCTTGCCCTGCATGACGGGCCCGCGTCGGATGCCCCAGCTGGGGAGCAGAGGACCTCTTTCTACTGCTGCACAGGTGAGTGGACCCTCAGAGGTTCTGCAACAAGGTGTTTGTGGGGAGGATTATGGCTGTGGTCGCCGGCAGGCCGGGTCCAGCCCCTGCAGGCCGTGGAACCTGATGGCATTTGTTGGGCCCTGAGGTGAACACCCGCAGGACGTGGCACCCAGCTGTAGACCTGCATGTGCTCAGACCAGCACAGGGCAGGGTGGGCTCAGCCCAGAGCTCGGGCGAGGAGGAGGGAGGCCTCCTGAGGTGGCTGCGGGGTCCTGCTCGTGGGCCAGAGGCACAGCCCACACTGGTGAGGGGTGCGGTCAGCTACTCCCACACGGACGCCCACTTGCTGGCAGCCCCACGTTGGTGAACCACCCTGCCTGCGTCTGGTGTGAGATGTGCTTGCAGATGTCGGGCTGATGGGAGGTGGCCATCAGTCACAGCACATCTCAGCGGGACTTGTTTATATTCATAAGTGCCCAAGAGTTGTTCTCAGAGATAAGCCCTGCCAAATAATGACAGGAACTTGGCAGCCTGGAGCCGTCCTGCTCTGAGGAAGGAGGCTCAGATTGATCTAGCTCCCAGGATGAATCTCTTTTTTGAGCTGCTACTTACTGTCTTGCAACTTAATGAGATCTCCTTTGTTTGCACGAGGCTATGGGGTTTTTACGATTGCTCAGAGCCCAGAATGGGCATGGGTCGGGGTGGCACGTTTGGTCTGTTCACTCACTGGGTCACTCAGAACACCTGTGCGCTCACCCTGCACTGGATGAGGTGGAGGTGCCCGCGGGAGGGGCCCCAGAGCCATAGGGTTTGAGGTTACCTCCAGGCAGGTGTGTTTGGAGATGAGGCGAGGGGAGGCAGTGCTGCAGGGCAGGCGGGGCCTGAAGCAGAGAACCAGGAGGAGCCATTTTGGCCCAAACGAAGGAGCATAGAGGGGATGGTCCTTGGCACCCCCGCCTCCCCCCAACTCCTGCCTGACGCCATTGGCATCTTAGGGTTTGAGGGCAGCTTAAAGTTTTGTTTAATCTTTTCTAATTATGTATAATGAGAAAAGAAACCGTTTATGTCTCAGTTTTTTCTGAGAAGGGGCCAGTAAATCCATCTGAGCCTTGAGTCCTGCTTAAGAATTGGCTCGCGACCATTGGATGCTTTAAAGAAACACAAATGGCAAAGCTTCAGCTTTCTTTCATTTTTTTTTAAATACTAAAGGTGAAGCCCCGGGAAAGGAAAGATGGTTTTTATGAAAATGAGGTGGTCAGGGCATGGTCCGGGGTGGGAGCTCAGCACAGTAAAGGCTGTGGTCCTTGTGAAAGAGACGCTGCCAGCATCCCAGTGGTTTTAGGATGTGGGAAGATGGTGCCTGCAGTGAGGGGACCATAGGCGGGGAAGTTATGGGAAGGCACAGCCCCTCCTGGGGAACTAGGGGCAGACACGAAGGGAGCACAGGCCGGAGGCAGAAGTGGCCAGAGCTGGGGCCAACATCGCCTCTCAGCCAAGTGCTGTCTGACTGTCCCCTTGACCCCTGTCAAGCGTCCTTGGGTCTTTGGGGCACCAGTTCTTTTTTGAAGCACTAGGAGACAGCTGAGAACACAGCTGTCAGGGGGCTTCCCAAACGACTGTCCTTGCCCAAAGAAACCCCGGCCAGTCTTCGTTCAGTTATACGTTTTATTCTCTAATAGGTACAATACTAAAATAAACACAAATTAAAAAAAAGTTTTATTAAAACAAAACTGTACAAAAAAGCAGTATACTACATTTTAGTTACAGAACAGTCTACTGTCCAAAAGGCACTAATCCAGAATAGGAGATACAATGATACAGGACTCATTTGAACTATTTTAACCAATACAATAGAGCACTTGTTTCTTTGACCATTTACATCTGGAAACAAGGGCTTTTTGCTACAGTCATCACACAATGTTATAAATATGAGCCCCACAGGTGAAGGTGCAGTATCACTCTCCCAGGAGAAGGCTCACGTCAAGAGGGGCTGTCACGGGGCTGCGAGGTGGGTGGGCAGTTGGCGGGTGGGGGGAGGCCTGACTGTTGTGGGCACACGGGGCTTGTCTTCCAGCCTGGCCTCTCTGATGGTTGGTTCTGGCCATTACTGGCAGCCACCCTACCCCCTCTTGGGTGTTAGCACCGGGAAAGTGGGTTCTGAGACCCCCCAGGGAACTGGGGCTGGAGGTCTGGGTGGTGAAGCGCCAGCAGCTCAGCAGAGGGGAGGCATTTTGTAACCTGATCGGATAAAGGCAGCAACTACTTGGAAGAGGGATGCGAACCCCGGGATGGCCGGTGAGCTGGGTGCTGCCACCAGGCACAGCCCCTGCTGCTCTCTGGGCAGACTTGTGGCCCAGAGATAAGAGGCCCTGTCCCTTGCTTCAGAGAGGGCCTGCGTCCCCTCCTGGTGGGACTCTGACAACCTTGTTTTGGAAGCTGATTTCTAGAAAGGGGATTTTTGCTTCCCAGAGGCCGCACCCTCCCACAGTAGCTCCCAGGCCCAGCCTGGCCCACTTCTCCATATTCGGTGGCCTGGACAACTCTCTCCACCCAGATTTCATCCTCTGATGGACTCTGGCCCTGAGGAAGAGAGATACTGCAGCTTTCCAAACAGTGTCATACACGTAAGACGAAGACAGGCATCTGATGTTAACAAAAATAAGTAACAAAGAAACAGGATTAAACCAAATCTCTTCTCACAGCGCCCTATACTACATCCTCCTTCTGCTTAGCAGAAAATTGTACGTACACAAAAATACAAATACACAATTTTGTAGAACAGTCTGATTTTTAATATATTTATATATATTTATATTTATACGAGTGGCAGGTTCATTATATAGAGCTTTTTGCACTTTTGGCTCATACGCAACAAGGCTTATAAATTCAGCTTTAGCTTTCATTCAGGTTTTATAGCTTTTGAACAATTGTTTTCACATTTAAAGCAGCATCCAATTTGCACTAGGAGTTTGTGGTGATTACAGAAGGTGGGGTCAGAAGGTTGCTGACGGGGAGGCGGGGCCGGGCGGGCAGAGATACATTCCAGTGTGTGCGGCGACGTCGGAGGATTGCTATGGGACAGAGCTGACCATGATGACCCCTTGAGGTAGACTGAACACCTTACAGCAGACTCGGACACAGGTGCGGCTCCCCTCAGGGACACATGGTGCACAAAGTGAGGGACAGAGACCCAGAGACGCCCAAGGGAAACACAAAGACTAAGACACAGCGGCGAAGGCGGGCGCTCTGCCTGGACCCACCGGGCGGGGGCCCCACGCAGCCCGCGCGGGGACTGAGGACTTGGCGGATGCTCAAGACTTGCCGGCGGCCCCAAGGCATCTGGTCCGTGGTATCTGATCACATCACCGTCAAACTCGCTTCCCGGCTTAGAGCTTGCCGCGCAGCTAGTCCCCACCCCGCGAGGCACCGGAGACGGAGCCGCTCTGAGGTGGAGGCCATCCCCCGGCACCCGGCTCGGGGCCAGGTGAGTGGGGACGAACCCACCTCTCTCCGCGCCTCTCTCCCCGCCTCGTTCCACCCCGCTTCCTCCAGCCCGGGAGCTGCCCCGCGCACCTGGAGGACCGAGGGACCGCACCCGAGCAGGGGAGGGGCTCAGAGAAGCCCCCTCAACCTCCCCGCGGCAGCGCCCCCCGCCTGCTCACCTCCAGCCACGCCGCCCCCCCACCCCAGCTCACAGGTCCTCTGGCAAACTCGCCCACACGTGGTAGCCGGGAATGCCCAGCGTTCTGGTTGTCACATTGTCTGAAGAAAAATGCTGGATTAATGAAAATAAAGTGCCTGGGTATGGATTGTTCCGTTTTGCAGAACGTTCTAACGCACCAACAAATCATCTCCGCGCTGCTTGGTGCCGGGATGCCCCCCGTGCGGCCACATGGTAACCCCCGGACCCCTACCCCGCGGCCAAGGCCCCACACAGGTCAGACTTAAAAGTACTCAAAACAAGAAGCAGACAGATCATCATCTCACACTCGTGTTCAAAGACGCACCTCTGATCTTGTTCCTCCCCCTACTGATGTCGGCCTTTCTGGGCCCCTGTGGGCAGACGCCCGGCCCCTCAAGTCTAGGAAGAGAGGCTGCCGACAGGAGTAAGGATGGCAAAGGCATCATCCTGATTTTAACTGTGATTATCCGACTCCGCCCTGTCAGGTCAGGGTGCACCTCCCGGCTGCTGTCAGAGACCCCGGTGCCTGCTCTGAGGCCGCCGCCCTCCGGCCTCCCTCGGTAGCCGTGGACTCCGCTAAGCGGGCCCCTTAACAGTCTCTGAGCAAGAGCGGGACCCTGGCAGCGGAAGCAGCCCCGCGGCAGCGGCACGGGAAGCGGGCAGAACCCGGGGACCCTGTGGGGGAAGGGGGTCGGCTGGGCCGAGGGCAGGGTGGGGGAGGGAGGGGCCGGTCCCAGAGGTCTGTAACTTGTGTAGGCACTTAAAAAAACAGAAAGAGAAATTTACCCTCAAAGGGACTGCATCCCCAACGTGACCATGGCCGTGGGAGGGAGGGGAGCCCGTGGGGTCACAGAAGGCTGTGGGCTCTTCCAGGGGAGGCAGCCACGATGTTCTGGGCATCCTCTGGCAGGGCCGTGTCCCAGCCGGCAGCCCCGCGAACCGGGGAGGCCAGCCGGGCCAGGGCGCGTGCCGGACGCCTCGGTGGCGGTCCGGGCTGCCGACTTGCTTTCTGTCATCAGTGTGAGAAAAACCACCAGGGGAGGAGAGGCCCTGCTGCCAGGAGCGTTCCGGCAGCCCCGGAGAGCGACAGTGGGCTGCCAGGGCTGGTCCCATCCCCGGTAACTTTGGTTTTGGTTTCGTGGGGCCCGTTTGCAGAGATGCATGGTTAAGGGGTTCACTGACTCGCAATCCTCACGTGTGGTTTTCAAGGCAAATGATCACGAACAGAACAGTCACGGTCCTGACAGGAGCCCAGAGCCAGGCTCTCTAACCTTCATTCAATCCACTACTAATGTATGTACTGCCCCCCCCCATGAAGCTGGCATAAAACAAGAGTTCAGGGTGGTATCGCTAGAGGGGCTGCTGTTTACATGAATACAGCACTGATGTCATTTCGTTTCCAGTTTAATAGCTTCAGTGAATGATGAAGTGGAAAAGTGACCCCCACCAGTTCATGCTCGGCTCCTAGTTCCAGTAAAGCAAAAGAAAGGAGAGGCCTCCATGCTCAAAGGAAGCCAGAAGCCAGAAGCCAGAAGCCAGACTGAGATTTAGACTTGACCCAGAAGTGACGGGGCGACGACAGAGTTGTAAAGGGGCCGCATCCTGAGAGCAGCTCGGCCGTGCACACCGGCTGGTGAGTCCTGCGCCCTTCCTTGTGAGGAGCCTCGTCTCCATTCTGAAGGGGTGGGCCTCAGCGGAAGGCCTTCCCTCACCTTAAGGGTGGGTTTTTTGGGGGGGGGGTGGATAATCAAAAACCCCATCAGCCAGCTAGTTAAACAAGGTGCCTATTACAGGGGCCCCCAATCCCCAGTGGTCAGCCTGGTGAACCCTCTGACGGGGCCGCTCCGAGCGAGGCCTTGCCCCTGGGGTGGTTCTGTCTCCCGGACTTCAAGGGTGCCTGGGGCATGACCGAGGAGCCAGGAGAGAGAGGTGACAGAGTCGGCCCCTGGGGAACTACTTACTGAGAGGAAGGAGCAGGAGAAGGGGAGAGGGAGAAACATGGAATTTGTTAGCCAAGTCTGCAGGTCAGCCTGGAGCCCGTGTCCCTGACAACGGTCACTCTGACAGCGGTCACTGAGCTGCCACGTGAACCTGGAGGCCGCTCACCCTGTGCTGGGCTGTGGTTATTAGAAAGTCCTTACGCTGAGCCCCAGAGAGTCCGAGGCAGGGCAGACCCGATGAGATTCAGGAATTCTAGAGCCTCCACTCCCCAGAGCGCTGGCCCAGCCCCAGTGCCTCTGGGGACAATGACGGAAGGGACGGGTCGGGGGTGAGTTGGAATGGCTTAGCAAAACTTCCAAACGCAAGCGGGATGCCTAAAAGTAACAGGCACTGAAAAGATGCTTGAAGAGCTGAATAGAGAAAACAGGGAGAGAGCTTGCAGTTTCTCCTCTCAGCTGGCTGCAGCCAGACCCAGGGAGAGCCAGTACATTCACGCTCCCCTCGAACTCAAGACTGAAGGCAGCCACAATGCTCCTTTCCAGCAAAAGGCAAGACCGTCACATTCACCAGATGGGACAGGGGACTTGAAACAAGAGGTTTCACGTCACAACTGCCCAACCTCACTGCGCTGTGTTCCCATCACCGTCAGTATCGGAGGAGGAAGGCCAAGGAGAAGGATGCTCTGGTGTCTGGATCATCACAGTAATGCTGGTCCAGTGTCGGGGGAATTAAGTGCACAGAAATGACGGTGGAGCGACAGTGTGCCAGTGGGGACCAGCCAGCACTGCCCACGAGAAGGAATGGGTTAAGTGCGGAGATTTCACTCAGCAGCGCCAGGCACACATCTCATTAACAACCCACTAAGATGAAAGAAGCAATGAGAGATTTGACTTGATCTGTTAAGGGCGCACTGCTCAGGGCCAAGTCTGTGAACCTTCAAGAATAAACGAGACCATGAAAACGCTGAGCATGGTCCTGGGCACGCGGGCCACGCCTGGGAAACATCAGTGGCTACTCCGAGCTTCCAGTGCTCAGAGGTGGGGGGTGGTTAACGTCTGCTGTGACTTAGAGTGACAGCTTTACAGTGGTGTCCTGCAAGAATAACTTACTTCTGGTGGTTCGCTCCGAAAAATACATATTCTGGGGAAGCACTACCTATATTTTCACCGACTTTGGTAAGCTGGCTTTATTGTTTTCTTTTTAGCAGGGGGCCGCGGGTGGTAAAGGAACACGTGGTGCAGGGTTTTCTGAATGACTGAAGCGGCCTCCGGAAACAGCCAGGAAGGTAAACATCCTGCCGACTCCAGTTCTTTTAAGTAGCACCATCCTTTACGCAGCATATCTCATACTTTGATCACTAAAATAGTAGATCGTGTTAGAAGGTTTTAACTGCAGTGATAATTCTATTTTCTTTGAATGTAAGCAGATGATCAGAATGTCCTGCTGGCTGCTTTAGTGCATGTCTCACAAGTCACAGAATTATACTCATCTAGTCAATTCTCAGAATCGCTAATCTTAGGACAGATTTTTAGTTCTAATGGAGATGTTTATCTTTCAGCAGCTGGGAAAGTAAGAAAGGGATGTGATACTCTAGTCTTTGGGGCCATAAAACCCCAGCCATTCCAACTGTCAGGAGCCCGCAGGTGGGTCTCCACGCGCGCACACGTGGAAAGCAGGTGCGAGGCGAAGTCGCTTGTAGATCTTACGGGGACAACAGCCCTGACTGAAAACCTCTTGTGGCGTTATTCTTCCTGCTCTAGCCCAACTACTGTACGTTTGATTGTAGGTGTTCTGAAGGGAACAAAAAAGAATCCCAAGGCAGAAACTTTATCCAAATTGTGTGTGTGTGTGTGTGTGTGTGAGCAGCCTACCTCAGCATTTCTCTGAAACTGAAGTTGAGCGCTGGGTTAGGACTCCCTCTGACACGTGGAGAGGGGAGGATCTGTGTAAGGGTAAGTAGTGCTCCCCAGCCCTGGAACGTCCAGGCCTGAAGAAAGGGCCCGGGGCCAGACTCTGCGGCTCGCCAGGAGCCCCAGGGAACGAAGCAGCTTGTGAAGGTCGCTTGGCACTGTGCTGGGTGCTGGTATAGCCTCACCTTTGATCATATAACTGAATAAAGACTTCCGCAAGTGATGGGAAAAAACCAAAGCAGGCACATTCTAGAGAAACACTGGATAGTGATGCAGCAGCTCCCACCCAGCCTGAGGCCTCAGGGCGAGAACGTGGGCTCTGTGGGCAGGAGGCCGTGTCAGGTGCCAGGACCACACGATGTTGTTCAGTGGACAGGGTGGATGGAAAAGTGGGAGGGCAAGAACGCGGACTTGGAAGGGCAGGGGGACAATCCCCCTGACCCAGCAGAACAACGAGGAAAACTCAGGATAAGCAGGGGCTGCCGACAGGAGGAAGCAGGTGCCTGCCAGCGATACGAGAAAGCCTGGGTGACACTCATGCATGTCCTTTTCCTCCAGTAACATTATTAGGAAACTGCAAATACCAGTGCCCACTTTTGCCACAGTCTTCTGCTCTAGACCAAGAAAACCCTGTTTAACTCATGTATAAGCTCCTGTTTGAAAAATACTTTCTGATGGTGATGGCAATGGAAATACCAAGTGACCAAGGAAAAGTTTAGAATTCTAGCAAGCTCGTTAAGCAGGAAACGCTGGGCCAGGCCAACAGGACACCCTTGCCGGCTAGCACGTGGGACAGTGATCTGGAGGCCTCATCAGCGGCTGACTTAGTTTGAGATTCTGACTGTATTTTTTGCCAAAGGAGAAGCAGGTTGGAACTGGATGTGAGAGGTTTCAAGTGACTTAGAAGTCAAATGGAGAGCAGTAATCAAAGGCTTCCATTTTGAAGCTGAAATAAAACTCCAAATCCTCTCTTCCACTTAGAAGATGCGAAGACCATGTCATTATTTTAGTTTACTGAGTTGCTGTTCCAAATGTTCTTGGGAGCACTCGTGCTAAAAGGGAACAGGGAATGGGAACGCTGCCATTTCCAATCACATAAAGGACAGAAATCCTTTTAATTATGACCATGCCAATCTACATCTTGCTAAAACAGCTAATTACATGTCAGGGGGACACTCAGTCATTCAGAACAATTGTCATTATATTTTTATATATTCATTCCATGCCACCCCCAATTACCATGGTTACAATTTGAAAGGATGCAGGCAAACCTTCATTTGATCACAGCACACCAACGTGAATGTGAGAGTTAATTATGGCTGTATAAAGCCACTTTTATTTAAAAGAGAGAAAATGAAAATGCAGTCAACGGAGCCAGCATCCCAAGGTGTCTCGGGCGCCAGCTGAGCTGTGCACGCGCGCCCGCGCTCCCGCGCTCAGGCCCGTGTGTGGCCGCCGCCGCGGCAGCGCGCACCCATCGGAGGGCACGATACTGCCGTCCAGACTGGGGCAAAGCGCCTGAAAACTTGCCAAGTAACAGGGACGTCAGGAGAGAAAGGCTAGGGCCCCCGCAGATGTACCCTTCTGTTTGTTCTCCGGGAGCTGGCTAAGGATAGTGGGTGTGAAATGTGTGCGGCAAACTGTCGGGGGTATCAAAGTGCTAGTTAGATTTCACTTGAATGGAATCAACTAGATTTAGTTCAGACTGAGAACGATGAGAATGACGTCCAGGACGTGCACACCTGCAATCCCCAGGCACCCGCCGCATCCCTGAGTCCTTGAGTGACGGTGAGAAGGGGATGTGAGAGCCTTGGGTGAGCCAGCTTTTCCCTCTTATATTTATTCCCCTCTTGATTAGAAAAGAAAACCATTGTTCCAGGAGAGTAGATTTTTCAGATCCTTATTAGCTTTCCTTTTGCTGCGTTTCTCATCCCCACTAGGGAAGAATCATGAAGCTGACACAGAAACGTCTCAATTTATAAACTTACAGTGATCAACTATTGGCCTTCTCTGATGGCAAGAGTGGTAAGTCATCACTTTTAGTTTATAAGTAAAGAGAATTAAGAACAGCCTTCCAAACATCACCTATTTGCAAGAGGAGTTTCTGTAATCGAAAAATGGACTTGTAGACTTGATGTGTTTAAAAAGCCTTTCCCACCACCATAGTGTGGCAAGTCTCTTGAGAGCAGTAAGGAAATCTTTCCTCTTACGTGAGTATCATCTTCTGAAAAGAAGAGCAGATAATGGAGACCGAAGTACAGAAAAAGAAAGGGCCTCTGCTTTGACAGCACGTGGCCCTTAGGGAAATCCTTACAGGAGAACCTGGTCATTCAGCGTTGCCTCCCCCGGAAAACCTTCCATTTTCATTATGGCGCAACACCTTTAAACTGGGTAACGTGGGTATTGCTAGGTAACGTAAATTAGACAATATGGAAATTAAGAAACAGAAGAGGGTTTCCAGGGCATGCAGCTCAGTTTGCCAAGTTCAATATGGCTGACACCTGACCCCAAACCCTGAGCAAACATCCTTGCTACTTAGCTCACAAAAAGGAATGTTGAATGTAATTCCTACCCCTGCACCCCCCACCCCATCCCTCTGCCCTGCAAAGGTACCAGCAGCGGGAGCTGGCCAATGTGCCCACCTTTCACTTGGGAAATCCTGACAGACAGATCTGGCTCAGTAAAGCTATAGATGGATGTGGCTGGTCTCAACGCAGCCCCAATGAATACAGTAGTAAAACATTACTAATATTCACAACAACAAAATGACAAACTCTATCACCACTGACATAAGATTATATCACAGAGATTAACACAGAAAACCGACACACAAGTAGAGGGTCAGAACTACCCGATGCAGGGCGCCACCGACGAGAAGGGAAATTATTGCCTAAGAATCCGCTGAGACGCACGGGGGAAGATCCCCTGGTGGTTCTCTGAACAAAAACTAGACAAGAGCCACGAGTTAAATGGGAAGACAGCCTCTAACCAAACCCTTCTTAAGACCAGAGAGAGAGTAAGGACTTGACGTTCACATTTTTCGGACACGGGTGAGGAGTCATTTATGAAAAAGGAGTTACTCCCACTACTGCGGGCAGAGATAATACACAGCTGGTCTGCAGCACAGGAAGATGTGTTTGTGTGAAGAGATGACCACACTCACCTACACTGTCTGCTGCAGAAGATAAAAACTCCAGCAAAGTCGGCTCAAGATGAGGCCTTGGTGTGGAGCCCACAGCAAAGACAAGAGGGGCTGTTCACAGAGAGGATGTGACTGGAGATTCCTGATCAAGTGGAAGTCTATTCACGCTTGGTGCCTGACTCGAAATCCAAGAGGGAAATTTGTAAAGACAAAGGCCAAGCAGAACCGCAGCAATGGTCTCCCCGCTGGACGTGTGGGCAGAGAGGCTGCTGAGCACCAGCCGCTGCCACAGCAACCCGTGGGACTGAGGACGGGCTGCACCTCCTTCCCTACCGAGGAGCTGCTTCCTCACTCCTGTCTTTCAGGTGCTCACCTCGACTGAGCTGGAGTGAAGGGTCCCTTCCAGGGGTCTCCCTGTTCCAGGCTCTTTCTTCCTGTGGAGGAAAGTCAGGGGAGGAGCCAACACACCAAATGACAGTGTGTGTGAACGGGACAGACTCCCCAGGGAGGTGGAAGGTGGCTGCTTATCGACCACTCAAAGGACTGAGAACGTGAAGAGAACTGCTGTAAGCGGGCGCTCCAACATGACAAGCTTCGCTGGAAAAACCAAGATGTCTGTCTGGTACCGACTGGTACTAGAAAGTCTCAGGTAAGAGCGTGAAGCCCTCCCTGGCCTTCATCCCGTGTTCACGTTATCAGCAGGTGGGCGGAAATGTCATTAGGATGGTCCATCTTTAAAAGGTCTCTTTGTAAGGCTGTGTGTTAAGAAGGGTAGTAAGTTTACCCATCGAATTGCCATAGTAATTCAAGGAAAGTGTCTTAAAAAAATAACAGACAAGTTACCTGAACTGCTGGCAAGGTTCCCCCACCTGACACGTTTAGTCTTCCTTACCCGGGAAGGAGCAGCCCCGGAAAGAGTCCTCTGGGGCCTGAAAAAAGTACAGCAAACGTGAGAGAAGAGGACAGAACAACCAGAAAGCACAAAATGGGATTCTTTAAGAGCCTGGCTATTTTCCCTTCAGTAAGAGAGCAGTTTTAGGGTTTCTGTTTTAATACTACCTGTCAAACCTGAAAAAGCTTAAGAAAAAAACCTTACAATCCAAAGATACTACAAGTTTGACAGTGGCAACTCCATATGCCACTGTGAGCACGAAGGTAGCCCAGAGAAGACAGCGGAATTAAACCTGATGACAGAGAAACAACCAACGGGAGATTTAAATCAAGGCCTCAAAGAACTAAATTTTTACTCTTGGTGAAAAAGCAAAAGTTATATGTAAGGCAGTGGATCTTAGAGCAGACCAGCGGTCTTCTTTAATGAAGAATTCTGGGTGCAGGATTCCTTCCTCCAGCTCCTACTGAACCCAATGCGATGCTACCCTGCACTGGCAGACTCAGTCCTGCGCTTTGTCAAGATTTCCAGGTAAGACCTGGTACTCAGGCTTCATGGATACTCACTCTGCTTTATTCTCTGAAGCTTTTTTTCCTTTCTTAAAGGTCTTACAACAACGAAACCTTTCAGCTGTTCTCTGGCCATCACAGTATTTCCTCAGAAGCTGCGGCTGTCTTAACAGTCTGAGTCTGTTTCTTTAAAAGGACCAGCAAGAACAAATGATACGAGCAGTCCCTTCATAACGAAGCCATCAATTATAACAATCTCCTTACAATAAATCATGGATGTGGCTTGTCAGACAGTGTATTTTTCTCTCCTTTCTGATTCAACTGAGAAGAAGCAGACAAAATTCCACTGAAATGGAAAGACACAATATGTTTCTTCTAAATAATATAAAAGGAATGAAAGATAACACAATCTCCTAATTGAAATAAAAAGTTAAACACGTCAAGAAAGAAAATGAACGGGGGGATCATTCCTGAGAATAACAAATGCTACTCTTGAATTCGTTGGTTCAAGTAATACAGTAAAACAGAAAAGACTCCTCCATTTTACTTCAATTCTTGGAAGCTGGAAATATATATATACAATCTCCCCCTGAAATCATGGACAAGCAGGCCCAGGTCCCGCCGACAGCGCACGGAAGTCGCGGGCCTGCGGGAGGTGGCGTCTCCTCGCCTGTCCGCAGCCTCCGCGCTGGCGGAGCAGGACTGACAGACACGGAGGCCGGCGGAGTGGGCCCCGCGGGACCCTGGCGGGCCCTCAGACCTCACTGACGAGGATGGGAAAGGAAGCAGCTCCGGCATCCTCTCTCTCAATGGTTTTAGGTTGAAAACATTTGGCGGAGGAGGAAGGGTGAAGAGGTAAGGAAATGGCGCCCTCCTTAGAAGTCCTTTTCAGGTAATGGACAAACAGACAAAGCCCTGCTTCGGAGCCAGCCCCACGCTCCCCTTTAAACAGGGCTTCGTTGCTCGCAGAAAGGAGAGGGGACAAGGCAGGAAACACACGGCCAGAAATACTCTCTCAGGCGCACCCTATGCGCCGCACTGACGGCTGCTTCCTCTTACCCACAGTGACAGTGTGTCCTCTGATCGGGATGCCAAGAGATGACTTTCATACAAGGCCAGCAGGTGTAATTTTCTCTGACGCATGAGTAGTTCATCACTTTGCTACTGGATGACAAGGTGATCACAGGGTGACTTTATAACGCAAGCTCACTGTTTGGTATTTTGAGTTCTCAAAATGAAAAAAAGATTTATCAAATATAAATATCTTTAAAAAGTAACAAAAGTGCTACATATGTGATCAAGGAAAAAAATTCCATTAGTTACTGCCGCTTAAAGTAGATTAAACTTTACAAATATTACCACATCCATTATCAATATGGCTTCCAATTATTAAATAAATTGCCTGTGGCAATATAGCTTTTCACACCTCTCCAAGGACAGAGTAAAGAGCACACCAAGAAGTCACATCTTGTAGTGTCTCGCAGACCTACACGCAGGTGGCAAATGTCCCCTGCTCTTTTCTGCTCCCACTGAGGACAGCGTTTGCATTTGTGATAGTCAGTCAGCACAATCCCACTCTAGCAACCTCTCATTGAGGGGGCTTCGGTTAATTGATACAAAGAAAGAAGTTCATTCACTCACTTTTGACCTTAGCTCCATCCTCGAAAGACCGTTTCTTTTTTGGTAGCAGGGAAAGGGGACACAGACAGGAGGCAAAGCCGCTTCCATGCTCACCTCCAGCACCTTTCCAGGTAGGCACGGAGCTGTGCCCCGTAACGTACAGTGGTTCTGAGAACTGGACTTAACATCCATTAGACATTCGGCTCGTGTGTTTTCCTCAATTCTCTCAAGCTGGGTTTTGTGGGTTTTTTTTTTAATGACTTTTGTTTTCTGTTTGTTTTAATCATGGTCCCAAAGGCAGAAGGCAGTATTTTATCTACTAAGTCACACAGCTTGTGAGAGGAAAGGATGTCTGTGTCAGGCATGTTAGCATCACCCATAATCTGAGATCAAGTTTTTCCTTTGACATTCTTAGCACAGCACCCAAAGAAGTGTTATCTAGCCACGGTGTGACTATAGGAGGCACGGCTTATTGCAGCTGGAAATCAATGACTCCCACGCCGAGGTGGGGATTCTAGTGTTCCTTTTACTCTGCGGACACTCCCCACGTGGTGTCTGTCCGTCCTGGGCCACACTACCTCAGCTTGCATCCTACCAGTCTTGGGGAAGGAACAGGAGTACAGACTAGTGTTAACAGGAATCTAAGGGAACCCGAGGTTTGACACGTAGCCTAATACTTGAGAACCGAGGGCTATCTAAATACCTGGAAGCACTTTCTTGGAATGCTAAGACAGAGCAGCAAGATTTTCTAGCCTCAGGGGCTGGGAGAGGGAAGTCTGGTCGGTCGGTCGGTGATTAGTTACTGGGCGTTAATACTGAGAGAGTATATGCGAAGGCTGAGGGCACCATGCCATCTCCACAGAACAAGACCCTAACGGCTAACTGACATACAAGAAACTGCAAGTTATACTGTAAGAACACATGTTAAGGACCGAGGAAAGTCTGCTAAGGTGCTACGTCTAAACTAAGTTAACTTCTCGTGTTCAGCCCTCCCTGATCAGTCGTCATCCAGGGCCTCTGTCTTGATTTCGTTGGCTCCTTGTCGGGCCAAGGCCAAGATAGTGTGGTTGACTGCCGCCATTTCCACAGCTAATGAGATGGGGTCCTGGTGGTCACTGTGGCTCGTGCTGTCGTCCTAGACGCGCAGAGACAGGAGACAAACGTCATCAGTGGGCTGGGACGTTTCTCTAGCTCACAGCACGGCATGCTGGGGCGAGGGGAGGCGGGACGTTCGTGGGAAGAAACCGAGTTGGGTGGAGAGGGCTCGTGACAACAGAGGTGAAATGTATTTAAGTAGACACTGAATGGATATCAGTCCAGAGACTCTGGGTTGGCGTTTTAATGATTCAACAAGCAAAAAGCACTAAAACGTTTTTTTTCTTGCTGAGAGTTTCATTCCTTCTACCAGGACTGCTGGTGGTGCTGACCAGCCCCGGACCACCCCGCCCTATGGGACAGCATCAGCTACTGAAGGCCGGACTAGTAAGCGACCACGTTCTGAACTGGTACTCTTCCAAACTGGTAATTAAAATGCATGGTTTAGCTCTCCACTCAACTGAAAAAAACTAGACAGAACCATAGACATCAACATCTTATGGATAAAAATGCATTTTTGTAAAAATACAAAAACCTCTCAGTTACCACAGGACAAGAGAGCACGGCGGGAAGAGGCTGCGGGCGGGCCGCGGGCCGCGTGCTCGCACACCTGGCCTTCCGCGTGGCCCCATGTGTCAAACGATGAAGCCGTGGAGGACGCTGGCGCTGCAGGACATCCGCCAGGCGCCGAAGACGGTGTTACAGATAAGGGGTAAGCTTCTCACCTGGTGTATCTTCAGGGGAGCTCTGCATCAAAGAGCTTTGCAAAGGGTAAGTCCCTTCAGGGGGAAAAAAGCACGGGAACGTGCTGCCCGTAGGGCATCTGGAAAAAAAGATGGAAATGATCCATCTACAACACTGAAGAGCAGGACTGCTTCCACTTAGGGTTTCTGACTTACAGAACAGTCTCTTGAGTGAGACGTGGCGCTGTGACTTGGAGCCCCAAAGGGGAGCCCTGGGGAGCGCGGGCGAAGCTGTCCTGTGCTCGTTCTCACAGAGCGGGCTTTGGAGGTTAAGGGGGGCTCAGCACGGGCTCGCGGCTGCTCCTGCAGCGCCTGCGCCCAAGCGGGCAGACGGGGCTGTAAAAGCACCAGCAGGAGGAGAACGCGGCGGCCTCTGCTCAGGAGCGGCCCGAGGGGGCGAGGAAAGGGTGCGCACACCAGAGGGCAGGGCAAACGCTGTCCTGCTGGGGTCTCGGAGAAGAGACCCCACATTCTCTTCATATTTCCAAATGGAAGTAAAGTTTAAAGCCTATAAAAAAAATTTAATGACATCTGTCAACAGATATGTGGGGGGAAAATTCCCACATTCTCAGTTACTGAATTATTCCATCCAGTGGCTACAATTAAATATATTTTCCCCCAAGCGATGAAGACTAAGTCGGGGCGAGGTGGGTGGCATGCATTTATGACAGGGCGTGTGTGTCCACGTGCCGGGGGCTCTGGAGGAAGCACTGCCCGGCACAAGGGGCCCCGCACAGCGGGCCAAGGTGCGGGCCCCCCGCTGTGTGCGGCGTGTCACTGTCACGGCGGCCCGGCGGCCCTAGCACTTCTCGGACACTGAGTGTGTGTGTGGTGAATGGTGGAACTTGCTTGTTTGGATCAGATCCTCCTCTCTTCTTCTACCTTCTCTGCTTCTCTGCCTCCCTCTGAACTTCTTCCCTCCTCCTCCTCCCCATTGCGTACTTGCCAAGTATCCTGTTTATGACAATAAATCCATGTGGGTGAATAACGAGTTCTCACAAGTTCACCAGGACAACTGAATCTTACCGCATTCCTTTCAAATTACATGAAAATCTAACTAAACGCATGAGCAGAGTGGAGGGACATCAGATTGCCTCCCCTCCCCCTCCCCACACAAAACGCGCCCGCAGAATTGAGTTGCCATATTGTCCCACCCGCTCTGTGTCCCAGGACCTCTGCTCAGCTGCGTACCTGCTCCGAGTAGTCATTTCCGTCTACGTCATCACTGTTGGAGTGGCCTCCTGGACTCTGTACATCTATCCCATGACTCTCCAGGATTGCTGCTTCTTCGAAAAAAGCAAATAGATCCCTAAATTATCTGTTACATCACCATAATGGCCTAAACACTGAATGGATTTGTACTGAGGAAATCAGAATGTAATTAAACAAGAACCTAGATTCCTCTGTTTTGTTTCTTTTTAAATTTGCAGACGGATGAAATTCAACACCGCAGAGGTCAGGGGAGGAATACGACTGCCAGTCTGGAGCCCCTGCTGCTATGCATGTACAGTGGAGTGGCTGGCTGTTAGGTGATTCATAAGTACTTACCAACTAATTAAACAGCTCTCTTGTCTTGGGGTTCTATAAGGCATTTGAGAATTGTAATGATGAACAGGAAGTTTGTAAATGAAATACAATTTCAGAAGCTCAAGACCAATCCCCCACTGCAATCTTATCAACTCAAGTTTGTTAAATGTTCTTTATAAAAAAAAATCTGGTTTTCACTGTGTTCCCTGTCTATTAAGACTCCTTTATTCCAATTCTATTAATCAGACATTTCCTAACCTTTAGGTCACAGCTCGGCAACAACCAAGGCACTGAGGGCGTCTCACGCTCTCCCTCTCAGGACCTTACAAGCACCTTTAATATGCACCACAGGAGTAACTGGTCCAGAGACCATGTCTAATTCTAGATTCCACAACATTAAGAACCATGAGTGTTAGAAATAATAATGCCATTCTAACTACAATACAAATAGTGTAACTGATATATCTTTGCCTTATTAAAAAATGCAGGGAAGAAAAACGTAAAGGCGGATCATTTAGCCCTGCAGCTCTAAACTGAAGATGCTCTTGGACACAATGTCCGTAACTGCTTCAAAAGCGACCGCAGCCCCTCTGGTACATTACCGATGTTGGCTCGCCTCTTGATCTCCTTCCGTCTGTTAGCAAACCAGTTATATACTTTCAGGGAGGTGACTCGTTCCAGATCTGACAGTTTTTTGCCTGTGAATGCATGCAGTAAAATTCAGATAATCTATACCTGAGACTAGTTTTAAGGGATAATACTTTTCCTTTTTTAAACATTTTTTCAGTTGCACTGACTGCCAGAGTAACAGATATAGAGGGATTTTTTTTAGCATTACCTAGTACTATACACATACTCAATTACTGAATGAACAAACATATAAACAAACATACAGGTAGCAACTAAGAACACAAAATGCTTCCATTTGGAAAGCCACACAATATTAAGAAATTCCAATATTAAATATGGTGTCACAGAATTCCACAAAGTCAGTCTGCTAGGGTTCAAAGTTCACATGACAGTATATAAAGGCTTCATTTAATCAGTATCATTCTAGATGAATATGTTATTTATCAATAAGTTTCTAGATAGCTGAAGTTTACTTACATGTTTAAGGCCTTATATGAAGTAGTTTCCTGCTGTCTTAAGACGGAGAACCTATCCATGTTTTCTTGAAGACTAAGGTCACTGTGACCATCCATTACGGTAACTATGCTGGAACACGTAGCACAGTTCAGGCTGCATTTCCAATTTATCTCCTTCACTGTCAAATGTGACGTTTTGTGGATAGAACCATGCTTGCCAACCAAGATGGCATCCACCTGTCCCTTTCCCTCCCACCTTGTCCTTTTCAGTCCTCTTCAGCTTTTAATCCATAGTGGGCGGAGAAACTAGAAAACAGGTTAGGCCCTTGATGATATGGGGGTGAAGTTATTTCCCAGGAAGAGTCTGAGTTCCAGCACAGCTTTAGGGCTGGGACTTTGGCTTGTGTAAGATAAAGATAGAGATGTCGCTGCAGCTGAGTTTGTATGTTCTAGGTTGTTAGGAGTCTGGCTTCTAACAAAGGAGAATGCATTACTACTTAATTACTATAAAAACCTTGATACTTTTGTATATAGCCTTTAAGCCAATCAAATTATCTGGCCAAATGGAGATCAACTGCATCATCTTAACTGAGAACGGTTTCTGGTTAAAAAAAAAACCCTATAAAATGTGGAAGAGCATTTCAGCACATGGAAGAAAAGATGTATGAGCGTTCAAGGGGCTCTGCTGACTCGCTCAGTGACAACAGACTTCAGGATGGATTACCTTAGGTTCTCCCCCTGCTACGTAGAAGTCATCCCAGTGTAGAAAGGAGACAGAAACCATCTCCAAAAAGAATTCTTTCTTCAAACAGGAATACAGAATTATGTAATTTTCAACAGTTGTAAACAAACAAAAATCCCATCTTAATATTTTCATTAACAAACCCTGCTTGTGTCCCGAACTTTATAGTTACTTTGACACTGATACACTATCTGGAAACTTGATAAATAACAACATATTCATCTAGAATGATACTAATAAATGAAGCCTTTATACAGTGTCATGTGAACTCTGAACTGCTGTATACAGTCTTCAAAACAGTATCAAGGTCGTATATCTTAAGCAAGGACACTCCCTGAAAACTCTCATGTGAAGGTTTGATTTGGAGTCCCACAATCAACCCCGAACAAGCACTGTTTGAACAGGACCGGGCGGTGGCCATCCACAGGAGGACGGCGTGAATGGAGCCAAGAGCACCCAGGTGGGATGAGTAAGAGATTTTATGTCCTAAATGATGATCTAAAGCTAGGAGTCCCCCCAAAGAGCAGGGCGGGGCCTGCTGCCTTACCTGGCTTCTGTATAACTGCATTGCAAGCATTTGCAATTTCTTCTCTCTTTGCTTCATCTGGGTATTGATTCTCATTGAAGTAACTGCAGAGGCAACCAATTAAGACACAAAGTTTGTACTTTGAAAAGTGTGCTCTCATTAGAACACCAGCCCACTGAAAAAGATCTTCTTTAAGATGTAACACAGCGTCCAGTCCAGGCTGCCCAGTGGAGGATGGAAATGGGCTGTTCTGTACTGTCCAGGAGTGTGGCCACTACTCACATGTGGCTGCTGAGCACTTGAAAAGACGCTAATGTGACTGAGGAAGTGAATTTTTAATTTGATTTTAGTAAATTTAAATTTAAGTAGCTACACGTGACGAGTGGCTGCTACGCTGGACAGCACAGGTCTAGCCACGGCTCTGCTCCATTAGAAGATGTCCTTGATGGAGAAGTTCCCTGTGATACGGATGGCTGGCTGAAATCACAGTTCTGTTCCTGAGGGACTGGTAACAATAGGACTCTTCGTGTGTCACATTGTTTGCAGTAGCAGAAATTGGAAATTACCCAATTGTCCATCAACGGGAGAATAGAACAAATTATGGGACATCTATATTTATACACAGCTATTTAAAAATGACTAGAAAAAAATAAGTTAGAGCTCTATCCATTGGCATGGAGGGATGCTTATGACAGTCCTAAGTGAGAAAAACAATCC